CACACACACACACTAATTTGATACATTTCCCGCTCGTATGTGCCCATCCCCCCACATCGATCAAACCTGGCACATGCAAAACATGTTCGGTGTCTATTCTTTGTATATTTACTGCAGTTTTTCATGTATACCAGTAGTCTGATACAATATTTACAGTTTGAAAGGGTGTTAAATGACATTTGGTGATGATTAATGTTTTTTGTGTTAATGTAATAGCAGTTCAAACAGGACCGGTCAAATTTGACCACGAACACCAAAGTAAGGGGGGGGGGAACAAAGGCAATAGGAGGGTTAAATAAGCAAACACATTGACATGTTAACGTTTTAAAAATGAATTAACCCATTTGAAATGTTATTGGTTCAAATTAAGATGAAAACCCTATGCTGATAAAGGCGTTTCCAACTCCTATATTTTATTATGGATACATATCACATGGCTAAATCTCAGAACCTTGTTTGTCTGTGTTGACACACTTTCTCTTAGGACATCAGTATATTTTACTATATTTAAATGTAAATTACATTTTAAAGGGTGGATTTTAATTTTTTTAAATGGTTTTAGAGCAGCAGCTTATAAATAATGTGTGATGACATCGAAAATAAATCATACGTGTTTTCACTTTTTAACATAGAATAAAGCTCTATGTACTGAGTATTAAACATACACTCACAAATTGTAGCTCTGACACTATCAACCTAATCCCGAATGCCACATCTTAGAGCACAATAAATACTGTTATATAATACAAACACACATTGACTTTAACACAGTGTTCACTTACTCCACTCTGTCCCGTAACGCATACGGTAATAACCGTGCATTTTGAAGCCATGCATTTGTTTGTGTTGTACTGGGGGGGCAGATTGGAAATAAGCAGCCCAACAAACAAACACGCAGTGAGACTTGAGAGGCTGGGAGACTCTGGGACCCCTGGAGCTCGTCTGATCTTATAATTGATTTATGCTGCGGGACCTGGCTGCAGTGAGAGTCACTTACAAACAGTGATTAGTCAGTCAATGAGAGGGCATTCATATTTAAACTTCCACAGTGCCTAGTTAACATGATGACACTAAGGTGGGAAGATTAACATCACAAAACTTAACAAAAAAACAAATTAATATTTAGGAATAATTCAAATCTGATGAAAGCTTGCCAGAGGGCTGAAGGTTAAAGCAGGCTGACTCATATCAATTTAGATCTAGTTAGATGGATATAAAACATTTTTGAAAATAAAGCAAGGATGAAACAGAGATATTAAAAACCGGAGCATTAAAAAAGCAGCTGTAATGTGGAGAGTGTGAGCACCAACATGTGGTTATCAGGTGCTACTACAACTTCAACTGCACCTCTTCACACACACACACACACACACACACACACACACACACACACACACACACACACACACACACACACACACACACACACACTTTCACTCCTCAAATACTTTTGTGTTCCCCAACAAAAAATAGTCTAATAATTGAGTTTCCAGATGTAATCTCGGTTTGTAGAAACTTGTGCTGTGAAGCCATAATACTGCATGTTATATTCTTGTGGGAATTGCATTGTTTCCGATCTAAGAGGGTTGATACTCCAGCAAGACTTTTAGTTTAGATCAGCTATTATTTTGAATAACAAACAAATAAAAAATATCAATAGGTAGACAAAACAAGAGTATGAAGCAAACACATACACAAAGCTCTCAACAATCGAATTTGAGGTAAACTATCAGGACTATATCTCCTTCTAGTTCTTCTCAATACTTTAAAAGTCAGAGCTTTAGTATTGTGATTATTCCCATGTATATCTTTTACTTTGGATATTTGGGATAAACCAGGCAGATTAAAATAGCTGGAGCTCATGGAAAGGATTCAGCACCACAGCAGAGCGGACAGCTCCACCTCAGGAAGCTCGTCTGAAGATACAAGTTTACAGTTTATTCGATACATGCTCATACATGTGTTGTTCTGATTGGTGCATATTGTACAACAATAGAACCAATGTTTTTACGTGATATTTGGAGACTTTTGGAGACTGTCAATGTGTTTGTGTTAGTATGCCAAATGTCAGTGTGTAATTGTAATCACCTGCTCCAAAGAACAGGGGGCAGTATTTCACCTCTACAATTGGCTCTATACTATCTATATTAATATGTTGCCTTTGTTTATTTTAGTTTTAGTAGTTTGCCATATGTACTGCATTTGAATAATGTCTTCATATTGTGTGTTATAAAAT